CAGTAATGATGGAAAGAAGGGGGGGGGGGGAAAAGGGCTAACCTAAAAAAATAAAATGAGAATCTTGCTGGCGTCATTTCAGCAAAGGGTGAAAGGTTAGATCTAGCTGTGAGCAACATTTCTGTTTTCTTCTTCTCTCCTTTTCATTTGAATTTGGCGGTATATATACCAGCAGTGTCTAAATGAAAACGGCTCTTGTTGCTCACAGCAGCCAGGTTATCCCTTTCATTCTCCAACACTATAGTAGAGGAATGAAAGCTAAAAATCTGATTGCTGTGGGCATGGTGGGAGAGTGAAATGATAGATTACTGGGAGCACCAAGAACCACTCTTTCTACAGACACTTTTGTATATTGACCTGTTAAGTCACAATCAAGAAGGGAGAGCGGAAAAAGGTCGCTTCTAGGGTGTCCGTGAGAATATGGAGGTTCTCAGGGAAATATTTTACTTTCCTCAATACAGAGGCACTTACAGCCTCCAAATAAAAATCGCATCTCCCCCAGAGGTTCCCTTACCCTAGGGGGCTAGTGGTCAAGGTTCTCCTGCCTGGCGACCAGCCCCAGGTCCACCCTATGTGCCTGACATCACGGAAAATGGGCCAAACAGCCCATGTACCTGTTTATAAGTTAATATAACACGTGGCATGTCTCTATGCACCTAGTACCAGCACTGAGGGCATCCATATCACGCTTGAATAACCAATCAAATTGTGCAGCAGTTGGCTCCAATCCGATGATGTCATAGATGGACAGTCAGCAAGGCCCTAGACTGCCAGCCTGAGCTGTTTGAGGAGAGGAGTGCTGTTTTGGAAAAGGGAATGGTTGTTTGTTACCATTAACAAATACAAAATGTAAGTAACGTTTCCAAAGACTTCTGTTTGTAGGCTGAAAAAGCCAACAGCTTAAATGCGGAGAAAAAAAGATTAGACGCTAACCTTCTGTGGTGTAAGAAACAGAACAAACAGTTCCCATGGAGGAAGCCTGGGGGGGCTAAGTCACCATCACATGCTAAAACGACATGCACACTAACATACATAAGTAGTGTTTTTGAAATTACAGACTGAAAATGTAAAACATAAATTAGTGGGCTGGAATGAGCATGCATGTCCGACACTGTGACCACAACTAGAGTCTTCCGCTCCGTGCTGTAGCATGAGCTAATGGCTGACATGTCCTAACACCGGCCAGTACAAAAGAAAGGTGCTGCAATGCACACAAGCCAGCCGAGTGCTTTCATTTTCTGTCAGCACATCAATAAATACCTCTCATCATGGCCACAGGTAGCGTGGGCTAAATGTGGCGACTGGAGAAGTATTTTCATGCTGAATATATCATTAGTGTCCTGAACTCAACTTTTTTTTTTTTTTTTTAATGCTGCCTTTTAGGAAAACTTTGGGATTAATATATAAAGTGTATGTAAAGGTAAAACATTTTTTGGCTTTGGATAGAGTGGAGGAAGGAGAGCGATCCTCTGGCAGGTTGTGATTGCTGCTGGGGAGATTGCCTGGCTCCCCCACCCCCGTTTATTTATCCTGGTGAGCACCATCACATAGACCAAAAATGAGGGGGGTGGTCACCAGAAAAAAAAGGTTTCGGTGGCGTCTGTAAGATTTTCATATGATTTCCTGTTGCGTCTCCAGGGCAGGAAGTGAAAGGAAATCTCCCCGGAGGCCAGCCAACACACAACCTGAAAAGAATTTTAACCCTTACCCACCTCTATCCAAACACAAACGTTTGGGCTATATATACACTTTAATAACACTGTATGAATTAAGATGATGTCCTGTAACCCATAGCAAGCACACATCGACATTCTTCAGTTCAATGATTAGAATATGCTGTTATTAACCTGTGTTGTGGTTGCCATTTATGTCCACAAGTACAGAAAATGATACATGTATGTAGACACAGATTTACTACAAGATGGCCACCCTCATGCTTTTATGTTTTGATCACAGTAGGCTAGATAACCCCGGCAGATTTATCTCTTTTTTACTTCAAGTGTAACAGCTGCTGGACAGCACTGGATAAACGAAGCTTGTTACAGAGCCAGAAGATAATAAACCTGCCGTTCAACCTACACTTGTGGCTTCTTGACTCTGCTCAACTGCCTGTGGTCGTCAATCTACAAGACACGGAAGTGTGGCCAAGGTCACATGACCAGCACTAAAGCCCTAGTACAACTAGATGCCCCTGCCGTACACATAGCCCTATATGATCTAACTATTTCTAAATCTTCCGGGTGAACAGCATTGTGATTTACGACATTTACGATCCTGAATAATAAAAGGGTAGAAGGTAAACAAAAATGAACACAAACATCGTTCCAGCTGGGGTTGAGGTCTTCAGGTCTTGGAAAGTGTGGTCCATAGAAGAACATGCTCTGGTAGTCAGTATGCTAAACCTAGTAGCAGAAAAGAGTTCGGCCTTTTAGAACCTCACCTCAAATAGGGAAAAATGGACACCTCAGCCTGACTATAACACATGGCTTACAGAAGACAGGCTTGATGTTCTTTATATGTGCTGTGAATAGGACATTTTACACCCCTATATGCCAAAATCCCTACATCACCCTAGAATGTCCTGGCCACAAAGATTTCGGTTTTTATGAGGACGTGTTGGACCCCAGGGTCAAAAGCTATCGTCGGGAGACTAGTGTAGTGTAACACAGTAAGTGCGATGTATAGAAGGCAAGGTTGAAAAACCCTAGAATATCATACTGCAAATAACTGGAGATACCACCATGTGAGGACAATCAGAAGGTTCACAGTTAATGTCCGCGACAGTCCTCCTCCAAGACAAATCCCAAAGCCAGTAACAGTCCAGTGTATGGAGCTTATGTCCCTTTATCCAGAAACCCGTAAAATTGTCTCTTCTCTCCAAAATGTCTCCAGTTGGGGAAAATCCCAGCATGAAGTTAATGGGCTATATCTTTAAACTGTGCAAATTCCATTACCTGCAGGAACTGTGTCTGCCCTTATTGCCATCATTTGGGGAAGCAAAGTTTTGAATCAACTGAATGTCCTCAAAGGGGAACCCGTGTCACATGATCCCATGGGGCCCCCAATTCTTAAGGCGAGATCACTGGGGTTTAAAAAGTATTCAGGGAAAACAGAAGAGGGAACCCCAAGAGTCGGAAGAATCAATCCTAGAAGAAGAAAAAGATATAGATTAAACCTTTAACATACATACGGTCTATTTTATGTGTACTGCTGGGGAACAGATCCTTTAAGAGACAATGTCACCTTGCCCATGATGGAAAAAGCAACAGTGCCTTTGTAAAGGGTCCCCTTATACTCACTGCAATCCCATGCCATGCCTTTCTCCACAGCTGCCAATGCTGAAATCAGCCGACCCAAGGAAACAGGGATGCCACTCCCTTGGTCACATGCCAGTGTTTGGGCCTAGAAATTAAAGGAGAATTATGAAGCGAGTGATTTTCACTCAGCCTCATAATCTGAGCCGACCTGTGACAATGAAACTGTCACAGGTCGGCTCAGTAGATCGGGAAGTGAGTGAACACATACCGGCGCTCGCTCACTTCTCGATCTATCCGTGCAGAGAGCCGTGACAGGGAAGGGACTGGATTCCCTCACCTCTCGATCCTGTCATGGCTCTCTGCCGTGACAGGGTGAGGGGCTGGATTCCCCCCTCCCCTGTCCGATCCTCCAGCGCTGACTGGCGGAACGGATGGGGGCGGGTACAGCTGGCTCTGCCTCTAGGTAGGCATAGCCAGCTGTCACTCACGCAGCTGGGTGGATCCAGACAGAATTGTCAGGATCCATTCCGGCGTCTAAGTACACCGCGAGCTGTATACTGAGCTTTGGGTGACGGGAGGACGCTAGTTTGTGTCCTCCCGTTACCCTTATGATAACTATGAGGAAAAGCCCTGACCCCATAGTTCTCCTTTAACTACTAAGCCTGAGCACCGTCACAGGGGTCAGGTCACATGCTCTTCCATGCCAGGAAGTGCTGGAAAGTGACACCAGCTGTGATGGAGAAAGGAGCAGTAAGGGAGCACAGGTAAAGTGTCAGTGGAATGCCACAAAATAAAAGGCATTCTGTGAATAGACAAGGGGGGAGGAGGGAAGGGTGATCAACAGGGTCTCCCTTCTTCATTCACAGAACATCTTGCATTCTGTTACAAGAATTGAAGGCTTTTTATGAATGGATGAGGGGAGAGGAGGTGGCGGGTAAGCGACAGGATCTGTTACTGCATAAGTGGCAGGACTATTAGTTGCAGCACCAGAAGAGGAGTGCTGCCTATAGTATCCAACATAAATAAAACTAGCAATTGTACAGTAACCAGCAGGGATCTGTCCATAATTTACACTTCATTAGCTGTACCTTATATACTTCCAAAAAAACTCATCCAGGAGTTCCGCTTTTACAACCTGTGTTGATGGGCATTTGCTTGCTTCAAGCTGGTTTTGTATTTCCATTCAACTCTACGGGAATGCAAATCCCACTGGAAGCAAGTGAATTCAGGCCAGAAAGAGGTCAACTTCAGGTCCAATGCACCTGTCAGTGGATTCTGAATGATCTCAGAAGAGTCTCAAACTGATCCCAACAACACAAGCCCAAAGTCATTTGGCACGGACCCCACAGGTTAGCTGAAATCACACTACTGCTCCTCTCAATAAGTGAAAAGTAATTTACTATTTTCTGGAAGCCTATTTAATATATTTTACACATTAAGAGACAAATGCACCTTCTTTCTCCTTCTAATGCAGAATGTGTTACTACACAGATTCAATGGTAGGCACCAGTTGTGAGGCTGCCACATCATTAAGTTCTGACAGCCACATCCGATTCCACAGCCTCTGTCCTACGGCACTATAGAAGGGGCAAAATGGTTACCTTATAGTGTTATAATGTTTAAACTTGGGTCTGGTTCTGAGGAGGCGTCTCGTAGTAAGTCTTCTAGTTCTCTATCGCTGAAGCTTGCAAGGGAACCTGTGTAAAAATGAGATGAAGGAGAATCTTGGATAAGGGTTTACAATAAAAAAAAAAAAAGACAGAAGAAGAAAAATAGAGTGGCATATGAAAAGGTTCAGTTTGTAATGTTAGTATTTGGGCTCAACAGATTTAGGCTTTACTAGCAGATTTTAGGGAAAATGTTCTGTCCCCTAGGTTAAACCTGTAATCGGACCCTACTGTTCTGATGCCAGAGAAAGGAAGGCCTAAATTATATTGGGTCTATATCTTTAATCTGAATATTTTATTAAAATAAAAAACAAAGGGAGAACCCTTCCCACACAGCTTGGTATACCCCGATATTCCCACCTACCACTGTCTATAAAACAGCGCCCTCATTAATAAGAAATAATAGCAATGAAGATCATAGTGACTATGTTTGCCCCGATGAAGGGACCCTGCTCGGTTCTGAAACGTTGGCTATATTGTACACGTGACAACGTCCTTCAATAAAAAGAACCTTTGGATTTATTCCATTCTGCGACATACTTGACAGGTTCATAAGAAGACAAATGAATTTTAGGCATACCCTTGCTGTCACAGCTGCTTGTTGCTCTGCCCAGTGCAGCCTCAAGTCCATTGGCAAGGGAAGGACCCCCTGGTGAAGTCACTCCCACTAGCGAGGAGCCTTTACCATCTTGGGCTGTCATTCCTCCTCCTGTTGTATTTGGATTCTCTACGCGGGTAACCAAGAAGATCTTGTGACCCCGACCTGGACTGGACACTGCCACCTGCCCTGGAGGGCTCTGAACAGAGTTCACTACAGGCTTTGTTTCTGCTACTGGCTTTTCCTCCTCTACTTCATCTTCTGTGTCAGAGTCTGAATCTTGTCCCTGAGGGTCTGGGTCAGGTGTAATCTCTTCATTCTGTACAGATGAATTATTAGGTGTGGTTTCCTCAGGGGCAGTGCTACAATCTTCTGAAGGGAGGGTATTCTCCTCAGGGGCAGTGCTTGAATCTTCCTCTTCAGCAGCGGTAGCAATCTCTGCCATGGATGCCGACTGCTGGAGACGCTCCTCCTTCTCTTTGGCTAAGATAAAGTTCCGCCGGCAGCCATTTTGAATCTCAGCCAACAGGGACTTCTGTGTTTCAATAAAGCTCTTCACCTGGAAATAAAAGTGATGATGGCTATTATATGTAAGCACAAACAAAGCAAACAAGAAAACCAATAATTAATTAAAATAAAGTTGTATATTTTTGCAAATTGATATCTGCAAGCTACAGCTTGCAGGCTCTTGTCTTGGAAGCAGCAGAAGCAGGGAACAGCTAAGTAAAAGTCCTTTACACTGGTCCCCTAGATAGAAATGAGCAGTTAACATTTGCAGTGTGGGGGGAAGACCCATTGCAAGGGTAGTTTATTTTTTTTAACTGGAGATAAGCTTTAACCCTGGAACAAAGCCATGGCAGGGTCATATGTGCTCTGTCAGAGGATGATGTGCACGTACAAGCATCCAAATAATGACTTGGCCTGAACACAGATCCCACCCTTTGATAGAGTGTGTCCAGAGCACAGTGTGTTCAAGTGGCGGCAGCTGGAGATATCGGTAGGCATGAATTACACTGCTATTCAGCATGGGCACATAACATAGGACAGTGTTTAAAATTTGCATCCAATTAAAAAAAAATGTTTACTTTAAAAAACAAAACAAAAAACAAACAAACAAAAACAGAACAATCCTTTCTCTGCATATTCATCAAAAGGGAGATTCACCCGAGTTGGAAACACGTATACAATATATCAATAAACAATCTGAGCAGAAGAAAAGAAGATTAGTACATGCAACACTCACAGTCTCTTTCTTCGGTTCTCTGTCCAAATCCAGTCTAAGTAGTGACTGGTTAACACGAAGAGCCAGCGAGAGAGCCATTAAGCCTCCAGTCTTGATCTCATTCTCCCTAAGATCTAGACGCAGGAGCCGCGGAGATTCAGCCACAAATTCTGCTACGGCAACAGCACCTGAAGAACCAATGAAAAAAAACCTATAAAAGACAATATGAACGCAGCTAATTCTACAATTTCTTTCAATAGCCGCCGTACCGAACACACTGGGCTGAACTGAGCTGATGGGTTTAGATTCCCACCAAGGACACCATCCGCAAGGAGCTTGTACGTTTTCCATATTTCTATAGCTTTTGTCCCGGTGCCCTGCTTTCCTCCAAAACAGACTGGAAGGGTTTGATTTTTTCCTTTTACTTACGTACATGGTGTTAGCACTTGACAGTAAACGTTACTCACAGTCCCAACCAAGGTACACTTTTGGGTGGAAGTCACTGTACCTACCAGTATGTTTGGTTGGAAATTAAACTAAATCTTTCAGTAATTTTACAGATCTGCACGAATATAATTTTCTGACATGCAGGATATTTTTTCAGGAAAGCCGTATCCTTTTATCATTAAAAACAAAACACCCTTAGGCTAGGTTCACGCCTGCACTGCACCATGTGACAACCCGGACGCGCGTCCCGGGATCACGCGGTCCTGCACAATGCAGGCAGCGATTGCCGCGTGTCCCTATTGATTTCAATGAGGTAACATCCAAGTGGCAATCGCAGAAAAAAAAGGTACATGTACCTTTTTTTGGCGATACACGATGCGTGGCTATTTTATCGTGTTCGGAGGCACAGGTGGAATCGCAGCGGGAAACCGCGCGATCCGCCTGGCGCGACTGGGGTGCCATTGCAAAATAATGGCACCCACAGCGTGATCGATTCACACCTAGGCGACTCCTGACCGCGCGGCAATCCGCGTGAAATCGTGAGGTGTCGTCTAGGTGTGAACCTAGCCTAAAGCTCCAGTCAAGTGATTTTGCTGAAGCTAATATGATGTCGCCAATCTGCTGCATGCAGGAGGAAACACTTTTCTCAGTCTCCAATCCACCAGTGATCAGACTTTTATATTGCAACTGTGTAGTCACAAGGTGAGAGAATGCAGCCGGGGCAAAGCTGTGCCACAACACAAGCAAAACTTGCACAGCCTCCAAAATGTAAATGACTGTGCGGACTGTGAGCCAGCATCGTTTTCCAGGAAGTAGATACCAAACTTCCTGGAGAGGTGATGATGTCTCAACAAATATGGCTCTGTCTTTGTGGAGAGAAAAGCCATTGAAAGCATTGTGAGGGGGAGCATTGTGATTTCTTTAAGAGGCGTCACACTTACACCTTATTTAGCACAGGTGCACCTAACATAACATATACAGGTGAAACTCGAATAATTAGAATATCGTGCAAAAGTAATTGCAGTAAGTGCTGCAAAAGGGGCCCAAACCAAGTACTGAGTACATATGCATGCTTGTACTTTTCAGAGGTCCGATATTGTTCTATGTACAATCCTTGTTTTATTGATTGCATGTAATAATCTACTTTTTTGAGGTTGTGGATTTGGGGTTCTTGGGGTTTTCATGAGCTGTAAGCCATAATCATCACAATTATGACAAATCACGGCTTGAATTATCTTGTTTTGCATGTAATGAGTCTATCTCATATATTAGTTTCACCTTTTAAGTTGCATTAGTGAAATAAATGAACTTTCCTCGATATTCTAATTATTCGAGTTTCACCTGTATATCTGCTGCTAGGTCCACTTTCACCCAGACTCAAAACACTGCAAGCCAAGAGTGCCAACTACAGTGCCACCATGCTAAGCCACGACAACAGGCTAAGGATTGCCGGTGAAAAAGACCCAAGAGCTCCACCTCCTGGCTGCAAAGGAAAACACCGTAACATTCATACACAATTTTTCATGTTTAATGGACTAAAAAAGTATTTGAGTCTGGGCTGTATACTAGTTTCAGGGTAAAGAATATGATCCTATTCAGTATCACTACAAGTGTCATCAGAGTGCTGGATCCAGAATATGGACCAAACTGAACCCGGCTTCCATCACACTAAAAAGGAGAGAAGAGCAAAAAGCCACAGCGTAACTCTTCTGAAAATGCTCTCCCTCTCTCTCCAATATTGTGGCTCACTGGACCTACAACAGGTATGTAAAAAAATGACTCCCAGCAGATCTAGTAGTAGTAAGGTTAGTGGATCAGCATGAAAGCCGGGCAGCTAGCATTGTTTCAGAAGCAGCTCAGCAGTGCCAGTCACAGTATTGCTCAAATGACAGGTTACATTTAAATGACTGTTTATGGAATGTTGGAGGGCGGAAGTTACACCAGTTTTACTAATTGATTTATTCATCAAAGGACTGAATCTAGGTCTGTCCTTACCTGGGTTAGCCACTTTCTTACCTCCTTGAATCATAGTGTATTAGCCCAAAAACTGCGGGCTACACTTCTGAGAAGTCAATCACTTGACATAACACATGTGACTGGCCAGGTATCAGCTCAGGATTTGGATATTACCTTCACAGGTAAGTTTGGCAGATGCCAAGCCAAGCCGGAGGACACTTCGGTTTCCAATCAGGCCGTTCTTAAGATGGCGGACACCTTCATTGCCAATAGCATTGTGACCAAGATTTAAGGTTTCTAAAGTCTGGGTGTGAGGCTACGAGGGGAAGAACACATTGCATGCATTAGTGGAATGATTTTACTGGTGCCAAGAGTGGAGAAGAGAGTTAAATACAAAAGAAAGGTGTCACAGTCAAGATGTCTAACTCCCATTCCTCTGCACACTCTTCTAGCCAGCCCACATCTCCCCTGCCACACCTGTAAACCAAAAATCTCCCAGCTGTCCTTCCTTTATACATTCTTTATGAAGCACACACACCTTTCCATCTTATGTACAATGCAGATCTCCTGGCTCCCCCTCCCCATCTGTACACCATAAATCTCTCAGCTACTCTTCTTCTATACACCATAAATATCTCAGCTCTCCTTTCCTCTGAGCACCATAAATATCTCAGATACCCTTGCTGTGCACACCATAAATCTCCCAGCTTCCCTTCCCTGTACACCACAAATCTCCCGGCTCCCCTTCCCTGTACACCATAAATCTCCTGGCTCCCCTTCCCTGTACACCATAAATCTCCCAACTACCCTTCCCTGTACACCATAAATCTCCCAGCTCCCCTTCCTTTGTACCCCATAAATCTCCTAGCTGCCCATTCTCTGTACACCACAAATCTTCTAGCTCCATTTCTGTACACCACAAATCTTCCAAAGCCCCTTCTTTCGTACATCACAATTTTTTCACATCCCCAGCCTCTGTACATGCTTAACGTAAACATCCTCCTCTCCTATGTACACACCACACATCTCCCATCCCTCCTCTGTGCACCACAAATCTCCCAGACCCCTTCTCTGTACACCACAAATCTCCTGGCTGCCTTGTATACAATAAATGCCCAACTCGCCCTCCTCTGCTGAGCCTCCCTCTCTTGTATACTACAAACGTCCCATCTCATCTACCTCTGGACCCCCTTCTTCCTTGTACATCACCTTTATCCCAGATTCACTGCTTACATTGTACACTACTTATCCCCCACAACTGTTCCTCTGCACACCTCCTTACATTGCACACTACACACAACATATCACAACAAAATCACATGCTCTCAATAACAAATCTCACCAAGCACATGCTCATGTAGACCATGCCAGCATGCGTTAGCTGATTGTTCCAGAGGACTAATGTGACCAATCCCTGGTGTTGCTCCTTCAGCCCCTCACAGATATAAGCCAGTCCTGGATGTAGAACAAAAATAGGTACAGTATGTTAGCAAAAATATACAAGCAAACACATCAACATGTTAAATATTTGTAGGTAGTCTACACAGAATAAAAATACAGCTCTCCGTATCTCCATTGTCTATGCAACTATATCTTCAGATCAGTGATACAGAGGCATACATTAATGAGCAGCAAGGGAACTGTCCCCAGTGTACATTGCTGCACTGCCAGGACCTACTATACATTTTACCCCTCTTAGATGCATGTATTGTGAAGACAACCACAGAGTTTTTACAGCATAGTCAACATGTGATCATTTTCAAGTGGATCAGGAATTATCCCCAGGACAAGTGTTACAAGGGATGTTCAAATTGTTTACACAAGCAGCAAATAGGCTGTGAATTTCCATCTTAAACAACAGAAAATATACAGCTACTTACCTGTCCTAACTTCCATGGACCTTCCTTTTAATAAAAAAATTCACCATACAAAATATTAAAAGTATTTAAAACCAAAATAGATTAGATCCCCTGTCAGGTTTAAATCCGTTTAGTGTCTCTGCTAGGTAGATACACCCTCTTCATTTGTGCTGGTGACCATTGTCACTGACACAAAGAAAATGATGGGAAGTGTAAAATGTTACAGTTGTCACCAGAACAAGAGCTGAGGGTAGATCACCTATTCCGATGTCGACTGAAGCTGGCCGTACATTGTTATATTTTTTTTCTGCCAGCCAGTGGGCTGAAGGAACATAATATAACAGATTCCTCCATCCACAAACAGTGTGGAAGGACCGAATCTCCCTCTGTGTCCTTTGTATTCTTACAGCATAGAGTGTGCCACTGTCAGAATACTCGAACAGTGACGGCAGCTGATTCGCTACCTTCACGGTTCCCCTGAAGATTTTCCATCTGGCTCCTTCGATTTTCTGATGGAAGGATGCTGGACCTAAGGGTGCCAATTGGGGCACCCACTGTGCATAATTTGCAATGTATGGCTAGCCCCTCACTGGAGATTTCCTATCACTTCCTGATGCATTTGTTGGTCAGAAAGTGAAGGGAAATCCTCCCAATGGGACACTGTCAGCAAAAAATAAACTGAAGGGTTTAAAAGGGAAAGTCCACTTTTTGAGAAAGAAAAAATAAATGCACATTTTTTTATTAGATGACTTATGTTACACCCTGAATATGGATGTAACATGAAACATGGTCTAAAATGTGAACTAAAGAGACGTGTACGCGGTTCTATTTTTTTTTTTTTCGTTCAACCCGCGAATACCTCGCTGTTTCTTTGCATTCTGACAGCGTTTGGAGCCTGCCGCTGATTGGTTACTAGCTTCGTTTGGCTGAGAATTTTCCAACCAGCTGCTTCAATCAGCTGATCGAGGGACGACGGGCGGAAGGGTGCCCACAGCGGCACCCACACAGCAAGTTTTGACTGGTTATTGATGAAATTTGAAGCGTTTATACCTGGCTTTAGCTTTTGTCCCTTCTCTATCTCAAAACGTAAACATTTTTGCTATCATACACTCTCCATTGACAAACAGTATGATGTTGGTAGAGCTGAGTACAATTGATTTACAAGTGTTTTTATAATATGACTTCACAAGAAAATGGCGGCATGGACAAGCTAATTGCAGAATTCACGACCCAGAGGGACAAATTCATGCAAAAGATTTTCATTTGATTTCTACATTATTCACAAATGTATTGGATCACTTCTGGATAATAAAAGGTTCTGAATAATACTGAATACATGTTTTCACTCTGTTACTCACAGTAAGTAGCCCTTGTTGAATATCTACATTTACCTGCAAGCAGGCATGCCATGGGCACAGCACAAGTGTGTCCCTACCGTGGTATTATTGCGCTCTTAAACAGTGGAATCATCTCGCAGATTACGTTTCTCTTATTGAGAAATATAATCTGCGAGTAGTAAGTTACATTTATAGCCTTACATCATATACAAGCGATGGAGGAGGTCAGATTCATGGCAACACACGACAAAAAAAAACAAAATAGGTGTATTGTGTACAATATTTCTTACACCTTCATTTGCCTAACATATTGCCTACATTGTAAAGTGGTAGTTGGTGTTCTTCTATTAGAAAACAAGATGATAAAAGCTGGAATCGCCCTGTAGAGACAAGGACAGGTGCTGTTAGAACAGAAAAGGATCATAAAAGCTGAGTGACTGCTGTTATTTTTCAGGTGCGATGTCTGTAGGGATTTATTCAGCCCTAACTGTACCAGTAAGTGTGTACTTCCTCATTACTAGCCCATGAAACACAGAGATGCTTCAGAAGTACTGCAAAGTGATAGTGAAAAACACACAGTCAACACTCACCTGAGTCCATGATGTGATTGTTCCGCAGGTCCAGAATCTGTATACAGCTGTTGAATTTTAATACATTTCCCAGCTGAGCAGCGTCCTGCAGGCTGTTCAGGCGGTTGTCAGCGAGGTACAGCTCCCGCAACACTATATTCATCTTTAGGGCAGTGGCTTAAACAGGAGAGGAATAGAAGAACTGAGTTGCTAATACAATACAGAGAAATTGAAAAGAAGCAGTAAGAGGAACCAAGTGGGAGTAACTAATACAATAAATAAAAAGCAGGGAGCTACCTGAGAAAGTTAAAGGAAGCAGTCCTCAAAAACTCAAATGTGTAGCTGACTGAGCAAAGCCTCGGTAATGTACAACATGTCATAAAAAGAATTCCCCCACTGCACAGTATTGTCATTGTCTAAAAGTCATCAAGTTTCTTGGTTCTAGGTGTATTTCTAGCTACTTCTAGCAGTTTTCAGTTTAATTCTTTACATTAGTATGCATATAACGCAAAACTATTTGAAGGAACTATAAACTCTATTCTACAGGTTTGTGGAAAGCCCTAACCCCCTTTACGTTATGGAAATGGTGGTGCCCAGAGTTAGGCTTTAAAGTGTCAATCAATACTCAAAGCCTTTGCCAATTATCAGTTCTCACTGTGATAAAATATAAGCAAAAACAAAAAAACTGAATTTGCATACATTGTCTCAATGACCATCACATACATAAGCCCTTTAAGGGAAAGTTGTATAGACCGTCATCACAAAAATATTAAAATCTGATAATTGTATGGGAGTAACACATGTAATGATATTATCTAGTATAAGAATTCATTTTTATTTTACATGCCTGTATTTAAAAATGTCTCTAGAATTTACATACAGAGCAAGCTATCCAGCAAAGGTGATAGTAACAGGAGATGGGTAAAATAACTACCAGTGGTGATGGAGGAATTGCAGCAACAGTTATTCAAATGGATTTAAAGTAGGGGGTGCCCCGATATTGGTATTTCAGTATGGAGTATGAGTACCGATATTTTCTTTTCAGTGCTCGCCGATACCGAATACCGATACCGGAAGTTCCATTATGGAAGCCAGGCTGCGTGTAATGACTCGCCAGCTGGCTTTCCGATTAGCCGGGAAGCCGGGCAGCGTGTCAAGACTCGCCATCCGGGTTCCCGATTAGCTGGGAAGCTGTCCCAATGCTTCTCGTCACTAGGTGACGAGAAAGCATGGAGCCGGCTTTCTGGCCAATCAGGAAGCCCGGTGTCGTGTAATGATGCGGCGCCCGGGTTTCTAATTGGTCGGGAAGCCGGCTTCATGCTCCCTCGTCATGAGGTAACGAGGGAGCATGAAGCCGGCTTCCCGACCAATTAGAAACCCGGGCGCCGCATCATTACACGACACCGGGCTTCCTGATTGGCCAGCTTCCCGAACCAATCAGGATGCCGGGCAGCAAGTCCTTACACGGTGCCCGGCTTCCTGTTTGGCCGGGAAGCCGACTCCATGCTCCCTCGTGACGAGCATGGAGCTGGCTTCCCGACCAATCAGGAAGCCAGGCAGCGTGTAATGACTCGCTGCCCAGCTACCTGATACCAGAAGTTTGGGGCTAGGCATCGGAGCATTTGGGCGAGAATTCGAGTACTCGCCCAAATACTCGGCACTGGCACTGATACTGATACTAGGAATGGTGCATCCCTAATTTAAACCATGTAACACAAAACGGTTACTGTAAGAACTCCTATCAATATTCTACCAAAAACGGTGAAAACACAAGGCTGAGTTCACAAAGCTAAGACACCAGGCTAAGGATCCTTATTTTCAAAAAAGTAATCGTTGTTTTTAGCTGAGCCCTATGAGATTAGAAAGTTATAGTCGCATGGCTGAAAATAAAGATCCCTATCCTTGTGTAAAGCTTCATGAATTCAGCCTCTGGTACATGAAATCATTTTTGATGTAAAACAAGTCAATACAGTTAAGGCATTCGGCAACAAGAGGGCACTCACCAAGTAACATGAGCGGTCTTCCCGAGAGGCTGGTGTTTTCCAGGTGAAGGACGGTTAAGCTGCTACTTATGCGGAGTGCTCGAGCCACAAATGGAGCTGAATGGTCCAGCAAAGGGGTATTGCGAGCATCCAAGTATTGCAGACAGTTTGTCTGTCACATATCAAAATGGACACATTACATGACATTTTATTTGGAAAAACAATATACTTGTATTTTTATTAAGATCACTTTCAAAAAGCAACAAAGAGAACATGTTGCATGAGCCTCTGTATTCCCCGGTGGCAGCACATATCTGTCTGGCTTTGGTCTATAATACAGACCAATACAGAGAGTGTACATAAGCATTATCTTGTAAACTCCCTTCAAGTTCAAACATAAAATGCATCATTTGAGTATACACATAGTGCAGGTAGATGGTTTGGGGGTGAATTGACAATAACTAGTATACAGTGTGATGTGAACTTATCACCTTCTGTGTGTCCAAAGGCCACAGAAATTGGGCATGCAACATTTCAGCTAAAATAAAAAGAATTTGACATACCGATACATGCTACAGTTCAAAGCTTACTTCTCTCTACAGGTCACATTATAACTAGAAAGGGCTGTGCTCATTCCAAAAAGTATATATGGAGACCGCACATTGCTGCGAGCACATACAATGCAAACGTCTCTATACTGTTCTATATATTTAAACTTGCTTCTAACACTAAGACCTCGTTCACACTGGTTGCAGGCTCCACCATCCCTCTGAAAAGTGATCTGCCGTGGATTACTTTTTGAAAGGGCATAGAGCAGAAGCCTCTAGGTGGCAACACTGCTGCTACCTGCATATCTGCTTTTATTTTATTGCACGGGGGATTTCACATCAAACTACCATGTCGCTACTGTATGCCAAGTAGTTACAGTACAGTCCCATTCACATTAATGGTTGTGTCTGGCAACACCTGCCAAAAACAACATGTCGTCTAATTTTTGCCATGCCGCAAAGCAAATCAACGCGAGCATGGCAACGTGTACATCACTGTTCGGCTGAAGTGCTAACTTATCGGCCTGCTGCCTAAAAATGCAGACCAGCTGCCTGTTTTTAACTCACCCTAGGCTGCCCATGTGAACGAGGCCTAACACTGTATTATAGCCCAACTCTAGGCAAAGTTTAATTTTCCCTTTTCAGTGTTCAACAAAGTAGAGAATTGTTAAAAGTAAACTCATTTGTGACCTGCTGTCATGCATTTTTGTGTCACTGGTACAGGAAGTGAACATAATCTCTCTAACGGACCAAGAAAGCAATAACATCACCTTTATTAGTATAGGAGAAAGGGTTAGAACCCCTGTCAACGTCCCAAATGCATATGACCCAATTGTTGAGATTTTCACTCACTTCCTGCTCATCTGACAAATTTTTAGATCAGAAAATGTGAGGAAATCTTTCTACTAGCACAATGATGAAAACCTGACCCGGGTTCTAACCCCTCTCGATTCTATGCCAATGTATTCCATGCAATATGCAAAAATTTGGGAATAAAATACAGGTATCTATGGGCATCTTGAGGTTTAATATACGCTTACCTTACGCATCATGTGAGCGGCGGCTTGCCATCCCCGAGTGCCAATGTGCTTATTAAAGGAAATGTTGAGATGCGTTGCCGATTCATAATACTCAATCATGTCAAATAAAGCGGAGGCGCCCTGCACACACCAGAAAAGGGGGAGTGACATATCTCTACAAAAGGAAAACTTTAGTCTTATTAAAAAGCTGGACATTATTTTACAATGAGGAGCTGCTGGGTCACTCAGTATTACCAAACAATACTTTTACCTGCTTTCCTTATGAACAGAGAACTCGAACATGCAAATCTAGTGCTTGATAACATCCATCAGTATATATGACAGCCCAGCCACATGGTAATCTAAAACCAACTGTCAAGCAGTCTAACACAGAAGCTTCCACAGCATCATGACTGATGAATAAAAGACAAAATGTACATGTATTTGCCAACTGGAGGCAAAGCAATAGAGTGATGCTTGGGATAGGATTGGGATCCTTGGGAAAGATTTACATGGGATTTGGATGCTGCAAACTAGGGCTGCAACAACTAATCGATAATGATAACTATTCACATCATCGATTAGCGAGAGAGAGAGCAAGCGAGAGAGAGAGAGAGAGAGCAAGCGAGAGAGAGAGAGAGAGAAAGAGAGAGCAAGCGAGAGAGAGAGAGCAAGCGAGAGAGAGAGAGCAAGCGAGAGAGAGAGAGAGAGAGAGTAAGCGAGAGAGAGAGAAAGCGAGAGAGAGAGAGCGAAAGCGAGAGAGAGAGAGAGAGAGAGAGCAAGCGAGAGAGAGAGAGAGCGAAAGCGAGAGAGAGAGAGAGCAAGCGAGAGAGAGAGCGAGAGAGAGAGCAAGCGAGAGAGAGAGCAAGCGAGAGAGAGAGCAAGCGAGAGAGAGAGAGAGAGAGAGAGAGAGAGAGAGAGAGAGAGAGAGAGAGAGCGAAAGAGAGAGAGAGAGAGAGAGAGAGAGAGAGAGAGAGAGAGAGAGCAAGCGAGAGAGAGAGAGCGCGAGCAAGCGAGAGAGAGAGATCGCAAGCGAGAGAGAGAGATCGCAAGCGAGAGAGAGAGAGAGCGCAAGCGAGAGAGAGAGAGAGAGCAAGCGAGAGAGAGAGAGCGCGAGCAAGCGAGAGAGAGAGAGCGCAAGCGAGAGAGAGAGAGCGCAAGCGAGAGAGAGAGAGCGCAAGCGAGAGAGAGAGAGCGCAAGCGAGAGAGAGAGAGCGCAAGCGAGAGAGAGAGAGCGCAAGCGAGAGAGAGAGAGCGCAAGCGAGAGAGAGAGAGCGCAAGCGAGAGAGAGAGAGCGCAAGCGAGAGAGAGAGAGCGCAAGCGAGAGAGAGAGAGCGCAAGCGAGAGAGAGAGAGCGCAAGCGAGAGAGAGAGAGCGCAAGCGAGAGAGAGAGAGCGCAAGCGAGAGAGAGAGAGCGCAAGCGAGAGAGAGAGAGCGCAAGCGAGAGAGAGAGAGCGCAAGCGAGAGAGAGAGAGCGCAAGCGAGAGAGAGAGAGCGCAAGCGAGAGAGAGAGAGCGCAAGCGAGAGAGAGAGAGCGCAAGCGAGAGAGAGAGAGCGCAAGCGAGAGAGAGAGAGCGCAAGCGAGAGAGAGAGAGCGCAAGCGAGAGAGAGAGAGCGCAAGCGAGAGAGAGAGAGCGCAAGCGAGAGAGAGAGAGCGCAAGCGAGAGAGAGAGAGCGCAAGCGAGAGAGAGAGAGCGCAAGCGAGAGAGAGAGAGCGCAAGCGAGAGAGAGAGAGCGCAAGCGAGAGAGAGAGAGCGCAAGCGAGAGAGAGAGAGCGCAAGCGAGAGAGAGAGAGCGCAAGCGAGAGAGAGAGAGCGCAAGCGAGAGAGAGAGAGCGCAAGCGAGAGAGAGAGAGCGCAAGCGAGAGAGAGAGAGCGCAAGCGAGAGAGAGAGAGCGCAAGCGAGAGAGAGAGAGCGCAAGCGAGAGAGAGAGAGCGCAAGCGAGAGAGAGAGAGCGCAAGCGAGAGAGAGAGAGCGCAAGCGAGAGAGAGAGAGCGCAAGCGAGAGAGAGAGAGCGCAAGCGAGAGAGAGAGAGCGCAAGCGAGAGAGAGAGAGAGAGCAAGCGAGAGAGAGAGCAAGCGAGAGAGAGAGCGAGCAAGCGAGAGAGAGAGAGAGCAAGCGAGAGAGAGAAGGCAAGCAAGCGAGAGAGAGAGCAAGCGAGAGAGAGAGCGAGCAAGCGAGAGAGCAAGCGAGAGAGAGCAAGCGCAAGCGAGAGAGAGAGAGCGCGAGAGAGAGAGAGAGCAAGCGAGAGAGAGCAAGCGCAAGCGAGAGAGAGAGAGCGCGAGAGAGAGAGAGAGCAAGCGAGAGAGAGCAAGCGCAAGCGAGAGAGAGAGAGCGCGAGAGAGAGAGAGAGCAAGCGAGAGAGAGAGAGCGCGAGAGAGCGAGCGAGCGTGCGTGCGTGCGTGTGTGTGTGTGTGTGTGAGAGAGAGAGAGAGAGAGTGAGTGTGTGTGTGTTGCAGACACTGTAGAGCAATTTACCATGAACATTAGGAGCAAAATCAAGGAAGCCCTTCAAACTGTTCTCTCAGCTCGCCCTGTTCCTCCTCACTGACCTCTGTAGCTGCAGACACCGTAGATCGGTTTATCATCACTGTTCACAGCAGTTGTTCAAGTTCTTCCCCCAGCACCTCAGCTCACTCTCTTCCCCTCTCTCAGCAGTTCAGCTAATCCTGTTCCCCTTCAAAGACTTCCAGCTCTCTGTTTACATTTGTGATTAAAAGGCACCTCTAGGAGGGAGGTTAGGGTGAGCTGAGCTGTTGAGACAAGGAATTCAGTGCTTCTGCTGTAAACCTTAAGGATGAATTTCTCATCATTTCCTGCAGCTACAGAGGTCACTGAGGGTTTGCTATAAGTCTGGCTTTGCTTGTTCAGAATACATTAAGCGCCTAAATGGCTGTATCCTGGCCACAGAGTCACAATATAGCATGATTAGGAGAAAGAGCATCTAAGGTAGACCAGACTTGCAGGCACCCAGAGGCACCTGCTGTGTGCTGTACAACTAAGTTAGGTAACTATTATACTTTTGCAGTTCACTTTAAAGGTTAATCACGGCTTACATCTTCATCTAGATTGGTCTGTTCCAGGTCTACCATCTTAAATTGCACACGTTTGAAGATTTCCTCCAGAGCTTCACAGGCCTTGTGATCGAGCTTCTCTCCTGAAGAAAGGAAAGAACTGAGTCCGTAAGCATGAACATAAAAATAGTATTTTTTCCAGGGAAACTGGAGCAATCGAGTACTGAAGACATCACTGTTTAAATTGCTGAAGTTTTCTACCTTTGAGATCCAGGCTCTCAACTCTCCCTGAAAGATCAGTAAGTTCCTACAAAAAAAATAAATAAATAATAAAATAAATGTGTATAAATCCATGAGCATTAATACAATTCTGCTACATTGACCAACATGTAGGTTATATTAGCTGGCCCTAGAATTTCAGAACGAATATAATGATTTCAAGACATAATTTGTAGGTAACTGATTTCACTTGCTCTTTAAACCCCTGATGTTCTATTATGGATGTCCGAACGTTCCTTAGCTCTCTAAATATTGAATACTTTATATTGTGTAAAAACTAAATATTAGTATAAAGAGGAAATAAAACAAACAAAAAAAAAAAAAGCAGCGAGGTTTTTTTGTGGGACACAATGACCTGGATCCAAGGGAACTAATGAGAGCTATTACTTCATGTTGCTATGGAAAGTGACATATAATCTAATGTTAGCATAAGGTTCTGTATAATCACAGAACTCTGCCCAAACATTTTAGAAGCTCGGTGCTCATACAAAGATCCTCCTTCTAGCAGCAATCTGCATTGCCATCACACTGTGGTAAGATACAAGTACACAGAGGGACCTACCTGTAGCTGTCGGATAAGTTTTGCAATTTGTTTGCAGTTGAGTTTCTGGCAGGCTTGTGTATAAGATGCGATGACATCCTCCACTGTGACATTCTGAGCTGAAGGAACAAGTAGAACTTATGTCACTTCTCTAATGTGTTATTTAGAGAAAAAAGCTACAGAGACATAAACGCACACAGCAGAGGGTCATGAAAACCTCTAGAAGAACACATTGACTATTAATTAAAAAAAAACCTGTACCAATGTGACGCATGTTACCAAAGCACTAGACAAATAATGGAAATCTTTGCCCAATCATAATTCGTCTTGACTGCAAAAATATTGCAAAGCGCTCAACTATTAACAAACAAAACCAACCAACTTCAAAAATAAGTGCACTTTGAGACAAGGGCTGGGAGACGCAGGAAGACGAGTCCATAGGGCTACTGTGCAGATGTGGCCAGCAAAGAGAGGGCTTCAATATGGGATGTAAACAGACACGGGCAGCCATGGGTGCCAGATCTCAGTAAATATGAATCTGTGGAGGGGGATCAGTTAGGTCAGGGGATGGAGGGCAAAAGAAATAGTGAAATTTATCTGAATGTGCACTTATTCTTTAAAAGTAAAATACCTGCTAAGGTCTGGTCAGGTGAGAACAGGATGACGCAAAGCCTAACATTCAGAACATTGCAATCATGCCACATTCTATGGGATTTGTAATTACCTGTAACTCATTATTTCAAAGGCCAACCAATCCAAAAACTACTTTTCAGTTCTGAAAGCACATTGGTGGGTTTAATCACCGGTCATCATTTTATAGCTAAAGTGACATTAAACTCAAGAATTACATTTTAAAATGTACAGTACCTTAACTATTAACAAAACTGTTTATTTGTGTATCACTCAGTTGTAGATCCTCAAATCATCTCTGAATTCATACTGACACTGTCCTACGTTCTGGAGGGTGGCTACTTTTGTTCCCCATGGTCCCTGTGTGTGTTGTAAAGTAGTCACCGCTCCAAGTTCACTCCCGTGATGAAGCTGATGTTTAGTTTAATCATTTGTATTGAGATTGTAGTCCATCACAGGAGCGAGCTTGGAGCGGTGACTACTTTACAACACACACAGGGACCATGGGAAACAAAAGTAGCCACCCCCCAGAAGGAAGGACAGTGTCAGCATCAATTCAGATGATTTGAGGATCTACACCCAAGTGATACACAAAAAAGAAGCTACATTTCTGTTAATAGTTAAAGGTAAACAAATGCATTTTTATGGTTTATCTCCAGAGTTTACTGTCACTTTAAGCATTAAAGCATGGGTCTCAAACTAAATTTACTTGGGTTTCCACTCAACAAACTTTTTCTATGGGGCCGCTTGGCAAATTTCATACTTCAAAATAAAATGTAACTATATTCGGTATGGTACTACAGACACTAATACACACACAAGGCCCCATTCATATCTGTAAGTTTAGGTGCGATTAGGAATACCTGCATAAGGAACTTGCGTTTTCCTGCAGCAGGAATTCCTAATCTGGCGTTTACAAGCGGCAGCTGTCACCCATTCAAGTTAATGATCAGGTGACAGCAGCTGCATGTAAATGCCTGCACAACGCATGTAATGGTTTGTGATATGATTATATACGGTTAGAAAACACTCTCCCTTGATGCATAATCGGTGAGCCAAGGAGAGCGATTGATTCCCAACCACATGTAATCAAATCAAGTACCATTACATGTGGTGTGCAAGCGTTTACATGCAGATGGGTGACAGCTGCCGCTTGTAAACGCAAATCGTACCTAAACTTACAACTGTGAATGGAGCCTAATAAACTCCCCCCACCCCATACAAAAAAAAAAAAATACCAGCCCTGCACATATGAAATAATACAACCCCCTTCCCCATACACATAAGAAATACTTATTCTGCATATATAAAATAATATAACCCCCCCCCCATACACAGAAAAAAAATAAACCCTCCCACATATAAAATAACACAACCCCGCGGTTCCCCCCGGCACACGCACATATAAAATAAAATTCAGAGCCCCCTCTCCTGCTTACCTTTTTGCAGGGACGAGGCATGTTCCCTGGTGATCCAGTGGTTGATTAGTAAGGTCTGCTGCAGACCTTACTAATCTATCCTTTCAGCCTACGTTCACTGAAAGATTTCAAAGCGCTGGCCGAAAGGATCCAAGTGCCGGCACAGAGAAGCAGCTATCCGACAGAGATGCAGACCGTGTAGCTGCTTCCACAAGTCAGGTACACGGTCCATGACCACATACCTGACTTGTCAGCTGCCTGCGGGCCACATAGTACCGGTACTTTGAGACCTCTGCAATAAAGAATACAGATAAAGGAAAGGAAATGACAGCCATGTAGGAAACTTCACAGGGCACAGAGAGCTGAAGTGAGTGACTCCATCTCCACACTTCTGATGTACACTAAAAATCATAGTCCAAATCTCTGAAAGTCTCATGTTAGAAGCACTGCTGATGGGTAAAAAGTGTCAGAAGAACAAAAGTTGGGCCATGTAAACAGAACTGAGGTCATGCTATTTACACTAAGGCATGAAGGACCCTAATAGAGATGACTGGAGACAATCTTAGAGACAAATTGTAACTATGAACATATGATCTGAAGAAAGTTCCTGATTTGACACGAAAGATCATTAAAAGAAAACAGGAAACCCATAAGAATAGAACTATGGGGGACAGCAATACTGTCTTTTAAGAGTTACAGGCTCCAGGATGTCATCAGATATTCAGGAAGTGAATTAATGATAAGGCATACAGTTCCAGGACCTTGCACCTTTAAAACCAGTCAGCAATGGTAGCTCCCCCGTACTGATATCCTTATCGGGTTCACCTTAGGCACCTGCTGCTTGTGTATGGGGAACCTCCTCTAAACTAAGCTGTGCTGTCTATTCTCTGACTGTTCATTATAAAGACAATGATACAGATTTTGGCTTCTTCCATATCTTAGGGACCCAAATCACGATGCTGTCCCCTCTCGATGGATTCTTCATAATTGTACATATAGAAATATTTGCAGGGTTATTCACAAAAGGGTGAAGAGTTTGGAGAAGGCGGGAGAAGTGAACAATCTAGGACAACATAGCTGACCTGGAAAGTGACCTAAATTGGAGAATTTTCCCAAATCAGTTATGTTGTCCTACATTGTTCACTTCTCCTGCCACAGTGTTTTTGAGGGTCCGTGTACAGTGCGTTAATCACAGTCCCATGCCATTGAACCTACTGTGCATTCTGGTGTGGGAGATGTGTTGCGTTGCCATTGATTTGAATAGTACCCCATACAATTCGTACGCTCGCACAGGAATGCGCAGACCCGAATGCCGTGCGACTTGGGTCGTGACTTAATGACCAAGAACAAAAGGTGGGTCCTGAGGTTGCACAGGTTGAGAACCACTGCTTTAGGACATTCCCTTTTCTGCTTTGGGGGGGGACACCTGCTATTTAAAGTAGTATTCAACTCTCAAATATTTTTTTTATAATGAACCCAGTTAAAATAAATATACATTGCAATGCAAAGTATTTCTATACATTTTTTTCCCCAAGCTTTTACAGTCATCATGTTTTCAAACTGCTCCAACTCTCTCAGCTTGACTTCCCTGAACTTCCTGTCCAGTACAAGATCACAAGGGACAGAGCAGTTGTAGCTGCTCTAGCAGCTATCCATTGACGAGCTTGCAGAAGGCAAGAGCCAGGAGCGTATTGCCATGCTGGGTCTGTGTATTTGTGAAGACACACATAACTTACCAGCACACACAAGGGTGACTCCATAGGACCCTGCAAAGGAAAGGAATCACCCTAAAACAGGATATCCGGACCAGTGCTCAGAGGACCAGCTGATTCTGCAGGAAACCAAAAACTTTAAACATGAAGAAGCAGCTTCTATATTGGAGATTTAAGCAGCATTTGAGATAATCTAATAACCTTTTGAGTTTAATATCACAGACTTCCACCTTAAGTTCAGCAAACTGCATATTATATGTAGAATATAGAATTCCCCCAAAGGCCAACCAGACCTAAGCAGAGGATTTGTCCTTTCACTAGCAATGTGCTTTGCCGACATAACGTACCTCGAGTGTAAACATTTGCGGATTTTATTGCTGTGTATTAGAGCAATATGGCAGATGAGGACATGCAGCAGGAAAAGGGTTTCTTTACTAGGATATCGTGCAGCTATTTGTCCAAGGAGGAACCCATATTCTAAGCAAAGAATGATTCTAGGAAATGATACAGCCAGAATAATATAATGAACACAGCTGGCCAGACAAGAATGTCAAGGCTGGTACTTTTTATTAACCCATGCAGTGGGACTATCCCCACACTGCAATGGTTAAGTGCTTGTTTGTGTCTAGGGACAAAATAACACAGATATACTCACCTAAAGCTCCCTCCAGCTTGCCTCCTCCTCTGCTGCAGCATTGGAATCTTCCTCGGGCATCCTTACATCTATACACTGTGTACAGATGTGATGATTTATGGGACCTTAGACCGCTGCAGAGGAGGGGGCTGGTCTAAGAACAAGCCGGCTTGGAGCTTTGGGTGAGTATAACTTTTTAACCTAGACACAAACAAGCACTTAACCCTTGCAGTGTGGGGATAGCGCCACTACACGGGTTAATAAAACACTTCCTGGAGTTCTTCTTTAACTAAAGTAGGGTATACGATAGAGATGCACCGATACCGGTACTAGTATCCGTGCCGATGCCGAGTATTTGGGCGAGTACTCGTCCAAATGCTCCGATGCCTAGCCCGATACGTCCGGTATCAGGAAGCCGTGCAGCGAGTCATTACACGCTGATTGGCCGGGAAGCCGGCGCCATGCTCCCTGGTCACTTGTGTGACAATTGTAGGACTGGCTACAGGTACACTTTAAAACAAGATGAAGGAAATGATGATGACGACATTAAAGTGAAACTAAACCCAAACTTTTTTTCCCCAATTTTGGAGGGTTATAACCCCTGTTGGGCTCTTCAACATTTGTGTACCTTCGTGGAAAATTAATCTTCACTTCCTGTCCCCTCTATTCCTGTTCTGTAGGCAACTCAAAATTGGGATTCTCTTTCACTCTTGACGATAATGGTT